GAGCTTCATTTCTTCTCAAAATGTTACATGAGAATGGGAGTGTTCTTCTTTATTAATTCTACCGTATCAATGTAGAGACAACCTGTACACAATGTAACTTGTACACAAACCAGATGTGTACACTTCGTTTGTTTACAAAACTCTGCGCCTGCCCCCTCTCATGTACTCATTCTTTCTCTCTCTCATTTATTCGTTTTATCTCATTTACTTACTCCTGACCCTACATTAAGACTACAAATATTTTAAGGTAAGTAATGAGTGAACTGTATATACATTTTATCGCTCTGGGATGCTTAAATATCATAGAATAGTATGTGGGGGTGGGGTGGCCTGGTAAGGTAGCCTGGCTATTACCATACGTACCACACTTGATTTCTTACAATAAATACTACTTGTCTCACCCTAGATTAAGACTATAAATATTTTAAGGTAAGTAATGAGTGCACTATGTGTGTATTGTACTTTTTTATTGTTTTTTGATGCCTGGTTCTATTGCTAACTTAATATATGTTAGTGTAAACTTGTTATCTAGTGTTTGTATGCATTTATAAGTGGAAAAAAAGGGTGTTCCACTTTACGGCGATTTCCGCTTTACAGCGGTAGCCTGGAGCCTAACCTGCCGTATAAGTGGGGCCCTCCTGTACAAGCAAAATAGTTAACCCATTTCATTGTCCAGACCCCAGATCTGAAACTCATCCACAGTGTCCAAGAATTTTCAATTTTTTTTTTTTATGAAATGGTAGAGAATAATTTTCTGAAGGTAATAAAATAAAAAGTATGAAATTTGATGAACTTATGTTTTTGCAAATTTTGCTGTCAACAATATTTATGCATAAGCGATTTTGCCCACTTTGAGTCCTATTTTAGGCCAACTACTTTGTTCCAGTAGTATGTTTTCCATTTTATCTCCTTGTGGCTTAGCGCTTCTTTTTGATTATAATAATAATTTCCATTTTATCAATTGAGCACAAGAAACTGCCCTATCAACTATTTGTACCCTATAAAGTGATCAGAAATTGGTAATTTGGCCAATTTCACACAAATTTCAAAATCGGGTCCACAATAAACAATGCAGGCATTTCTGGCACTAAAATAGCATTTCTTCTGTTCATTAGTTATGTTCTCAGGCTTTACACATGAATTCCATTTTGATTTTTTATTCACACCACAAAATAGAGCGAAACACCAACGTCAAAGACCTGGGAGTGATCATGTCGGAGGATCTCACCATCAAGGACCATAACATTGTATCAATCGCATCTGCTAGAAAAATGACAGGATGGATAATGAGAACCTTCAAAACTAGGGAGGCCAAGCCCATGATGACACTCTTCAGGTCACTTGTTCTATCTAGGCTGGAATATTGCTGCACACTAACAGCACCTTTCAAGGCAGGTGAAACTGCTGACCTAGAAAATGTACAGAGAACCTTCATGGCGCGCATAACGGAGATAAAACACCTCAATTACTGGGAGCGCTTGAGGTTCCTAAACCTGTATTCCTTGGAATGCAGGCGGGAGAGATACATGATTATATACACCTGGAAAATCCTAGAGGGACTAGTACCGAACTTTCACACGAAAATCACTCACTACGAAAGCAAAAGACTTGGCAGACGATGCAACATCCCCCCAATGAAAAGCAGGGGTGTCACTAGCACGTTAAGAGACCATACAGTAAGTGTCAGGGGCCCCAAGACTGTTCAACTGCCTCCCAGCATACATAAGGGGGATTACCAACAGACCCCTGGCAGTCTTCAAGCTGGCACTGGACAAGCACCTAAAGTCGGTTCCTGACCAGCCGGGCTGTGGCTCGTACGTTGGTTTGTGTGCAGCCAGCAGTAACAGCCTGGTTGATCAGGCTCTGATCCACCAGGAGGCCTGGTCACAGACTGGGCCGTGGGGGCGTTGACCCCCGGAACTCTCTCCAGGTAAACACCAAAAAATAGAATATTTACTGTTATGCAGTATTTTAATAATTGTATAAATAATATCAGTACATTTGTTAACACATTAGACCCACCAGTTGGATGTGTATTGGACAAGTGAGTGATTTGTTTACCCTCGAGTGTCAGAAAAAATTGAACATTTCCACTACTTTGAGCTCAATTTCAATCTATTTTCAGTCCTGAAACTAATTAAAATTATCTCTATTTCGAGTTTCGGCCATAATTCGTTCCAGAAGGCTGTTCGAGTGCCGTTACGGAATGAATTTGTTCCCATAAGGAATAACGTAAATTAGATTAGTCCGTTTCAGACCCCCAAAAATACTTACAAAAGCACTTACAATAACACACTTGCACAATTGTTCGAGTTGGGAGCTGTATGAAACTCGGGGGCACCACTGTACTTCTTCCACTAACAACCGAGACCAAGAAACTGAGAATGCAACCATATACACATTCACTGCAAAGCTGCTGTTTTAAAACCAAAAAACCTGTTGCAGTTTTTTGTTCATTTATGATAGTGCAACATGTAGCATTTTTTTTTTTTTATATTGAAGGTGCCCTCAATGGAGCCTTCCTTGGATGATGGTGAGGGGCTCATGATTAGGGGAAATACTTCTGTGTCCAGTTCCCTGAATTGAGGCTGAAATGTTTCCATCCCCCCCCCCATGTTGCGCTCTATAACCCTATGGGTTTAGCTCCTCCCCCTGATTATAATTTATATGGTGCACACATACCACAGGAGCTCATCTTCTTGTATCTAGGGCTCAAATTTACGCCTCACAGCTTATCTGAGTGGAGCTGAGCTCACGCCGTAGTACTGACAGCGACCTCAAACCCATGGTACTACAGCATGGCTCGGTGTCGGATTCACAGCAGTTTTTCCAGTGTCGTGCTATGGGCATTTAAATCCTCAGCTAGCATTTTTAATGTGAATTATATGCCATTCTTTCAGCCACTTAACTCATATGCATCTATGCTGTCGTCACCATTTTGGTTCGTTTCAGACTTCCTTAGTGCTTACAGGCTTATAATGAAAAATTTGATACTCCACACACCCTATTCTCCATATCCAACTTTGGTTATGCCGTATCTCTACCAAACAAAGATATTGTTTTTTGTTGGGTTCCAGGTCATGTTGACGTACAGGGCAGTGAACAGGCAGACAACTTGCTGCGCAAAGGGTACAGCAGTACATGACCTCCCAGTTTCATATAGAGGTGTTCCATTCACAGACTGTTTTGCTAACCACCTTCGCACCTGTTGGCAACAACGTTGGTCTGATCTGCTCTATAACAAACTTCATTCTATTAAACCGAGTATAAGTTACTGGCCGTCTTCTTGTCATCAGTGTCGAGGTTGGGAGACTACTCCCGTCTTCGCATTGGTCACACTCATCTTACTCACGGGGTATCTCGTGGAGAGGCGCACTGTTCCTCTCTGAGAATTGTCAGGCTCCAGCATGTTAGCCACATTCTGTTGGACTGCCCAATCTATCACTGAGCATGCAGAATTTACCACCGTCGTCATCTCTGCTCTGCTCTTTCTTTACCTTCCCTTCTCGCTGATGGGCATCTCCTTTAATCCGGACTCTCTGACTTTTTGACAACTGATTTACTCCACAAACTCAGATACCTTTAGCACTCCCCTCAGCCCTTTCTACCTCAATCTCTTGCTACCCTCTACCCCTGCACTATCCACTGCCCTGCTGTACTCCATAACCTACTAATCATCCCTCCCTCTCTTGCTACCCAATACCTTCACATCCTTCCCTGCAGCATCTGCATAGCCTTGGCTGAGTCAACTTTAGCACTTCTTTTTGATTATTAATATTACAGCATGGCCCATGAAAGGGTTAAGAATTTGGTCACAGTAATGGAATTGGTTTGAAATAGGACTTAAAGTAGGCAAAATTCCCAATGCATAAATTGTGCCGACTGCCAACTTTGCACCTGTGCAATTTCACAAGGGTTTCATCAAATTTAAACTTTTTTTGGCGCATTCCCTTCAAAAAAAGTTTTCTCGACCATTTCAGAGTGTTTATTTTAAAACTTACTTTGTCAGTATTTAATTCCAAGTGCCAACAGAATTTTTAAAATGCAAACTTGGCTCTTATAAAACCCAATGGGGAAAGCATTACTTCTGCAACCAAGACCTGAACTTTTGTATTTGTAACTTTTTTTAAAATAGATACAACTTGCCTTTTTTTTTTTCTTGAATTGTTGTATGTACCTTGCCAGTTTTTAACAATAACAAGGGTTATTATGTAACATAACAGTGCCTTTTTTGTAAAGCTTTTTTTTTGTAATTACTAGTTCCTAGTACCTTGGTGGGGTCCTTCCGTCCAATTTTTATTAAACTTGGGGAAGTGGGGGCCGGAGAAGAGTTTTTTTTGGGGAAAAAGGGGCCTTTTTTTGGGGGAAGGAAGGCCCTACTGTATTTTTTGTTACCCAGTGGTCTTTGCATACTAGTCATACATTCCTGTACTATATATGAACACTACTGTATTTTACAACATAAGTCACCTGTAATAAAATGTTTTAGGTTTCTCAAAATATTTTGAGTGCTCCAGTTAATTAGTACCAGTTTCTATTTATATCACTTGTATAAAAACAATTGTATATCAGGCATAAATAAAATGTTCTATTATAAATCCTATATTCATATTCCCATGAGTTTGGAATAGCAATATACAAATTAACCTCTAAAGAAAGTTTTACCTATAATTTTGATCTTTGTGATTATTGAAGTCGGTATAAGAGGCATTGCACAGCAGAAAAAGTGTGCCATCAAGGCCAATATCCAGGTTAGTGAACAAATCAATTCCTTAATTATTCATCTGTTGGTGGGAACATGTAGATACTGTCTTATTATGGTGACTTGAGATTCATAGCTTCAGTCTCCTCTATACCTTCATTTTTCTCCATTGTTTGAATTTAGTCTTATTCTTTTCACGCAGTGCCCCCATTTTTTACTGAAAAATCATTCGTCTAATTTCAACAATCATTTGGAGAATGTAAATTTTATTATTTATGGAAATTAATGATATCCAATATTAAATTTTTTATGATTTTTTAATATAAAATACATGATTTTTAAAGGGGGAAAAAAAAAGCATTAAATAGTTTATTAAATCCATAACAAAGTTAATGAACTGAAAATACTACTATTGCTCAAGGGTTTTAAGAATTCTGAAACTACCTGTAAGCTAATTATAAATTGAAAAAAGTTTTAATACAAGATCTTATACAGTAAAACCTCATTATTTGAGACTGTCTACTTAATACTATCCTGATGCCTCAATCCTCAGCTAAAAGTGGATATACAGGATTTGCCTCTTACTGTTATGCAGTAGCTGTATTATTTACCAAGCACTTTGTTACAATATGTATCAAAAATCTCAAGACACAGGCCATTAATATTTCTGAAGGTTAGTTGTGTTCATTAGGAAATAAAAAAGGGTAGTTTTGTTTCATATAAATAGCATGTTGGAGAAATTGCAAAGATAAGGCACCAGACAATAAATGGAATGATACCAGCTGAGGAAAAGTACAAAAATACATACTATAAAAGTACAAGTTTGTGTCATGCTACACCAAGTGGGCTACCAATATAATGTAGCAATGGTTAAAAGAAAAAAAAAAAAAAAAAAAAAAAAAAGTAGCAAAGGTCAAGTAAATAACGTATACAGTATTGCTCGACTAAAATATATACATCAGTATGTATACTGTACCAACATTATAACTCACCTTCAGTACTTATCACAAATCTTTCGTACTACAGATCTCTGAAGAACACTTCTCTGACACTACCGTACTGTAATCCCTGGAATAGCCCACATTATTTTCTTACGATCATTCAAAAACTTTATTTTACGTACACTTGCCAAGATTAATTTTTATTTGCGTGCAATAAACATTTGATTAAAAAAAATTGTCGAAAATGAAGGTTCTAATATTTCTGCAAAACTTTACAAATATATAATGTATTAAAACCCTTGAACACCAGGCTTATATGACTTACCCATTTTAAATGCATCTAACTAATTCTAATATCCTTTAAGTACTAAGATAATTGAAATACAAAGTACTCAGCTATACTGATGTACTTTCCTTATTAGCAGTATATGAATTATCACAGCTGGTTAGGAATTTCTATAATTTATAATTATGCAGCAAAGCATTATTCCCAAGACTTGCTTCAATAGATACGTTTGCATGTTTAATTCCTATATTAAAATAGCCCTCCGTCTATAAATTTTCATCTACAGCAATGAAGTATTCTATCACACAGCTCTGCCATACAGTTGAACAGGAAGAATTGTCTGTTCCTCCAACACTGTCAACATAAGCTGACCTGAATACATCCCTGCCTTCTGTGGCCTGAAGTAAACAGGGACACTAACATAATGGCCTGACTTGATGCTGAACTGTGTGTGACGCAGTGCAAAGGGGCCTTTAACAACAACTGCTCTCACCTGAAATTTCAGAATAATCTTGGATTAACATAATTCATGCATTAAAATTTTATTTATCTTTATTATACAGTTAAAAATAGGAGAGGAGAGTTATTAAATGGAGAGTTAGAGGTATTGGGAAGATGGAAGGAATATTTTGAGGAATTGTTAAATGTTGATGAAGATAGGGAAGCTGTGATTTCGTGTATAGGGCAAGGAGGAATAACATCTTGTAGGAGTGAGGAAGAGCCAGTTGTGAGTGTGGGGGAAGTTCGTGAGGCAGTAGGTAAAATGAAAGGGGGTAAGGCAGCCGGGATTGATGGGATAAAGATAGAAATGTTAAAAGCAGGTGGGGGAATATAGTTTTGGAGTGGTTGGTGCAATTATTTAATAAATGTATGGAAGAGGGTAAGGTACCTAGGGATTGGCAGAGAGCATGCATAGTTCCTTTGTATAAAGGCAAAGGGGATAAAAGAGAGTGCAAAAATTATAGGGGGATAAGTCTGTTGAGGTACCTGGTAAAGTGTATGGTAGAGTTATAATTGAAAGAATTAAGAGTAAGACGGAGAATAGGATAGCAGATGAACAAGGGCTTTAGGAAAGGTAGGGGGTGTGTGGACCAGGTGTTTACAGTGAAACATATAAGTGAACAGTATTTAGATAAGGCTAAAGAGGTCTTTGTGGCATTTATGGATTTGGAAAAGGCGTATGACAGGGTGGATAGGGGGGCAATGTGGCAGATGTTGCAAGTGTATGGTGTAGGAGGTAGGTTACTGAAAGCAGTGAAGAGTTTTTAACGAGGATAGTGAGGCTCAAGTTAGAGTATGTAGGAAAGAAGGAAATTTTTTCCCAGTAAAAGTAGGCCTTAGACAAGGATGTGTGATGTCACCGTGGTTGTTTAATATATTTATAGATGGGGTTGTAAGAGAAGTAAATGCGAGGGTCTTGGCAAGAGGCGTGGAGTTAAAAGATAAAGAATCACACACAAAGTGGGAGTTGTCACAGCTGCTCTTTGCTGATGACACTGTGCTCTTGGGAGATTCTGAAGAGAAGTTGCAGAGATTGGTGGATGAATTTGGTAGGGTGTGCAAAAGAAGAAAATTAAAGGTGAATACAGGAAAGAGTAAGGTTATGAGGATAACAAAAAGATTAGGTGATGAAAGATTGAATATCAGATTGGAGGGAGAGAGTATGGAGGAGGTGAACGTATTCAGATATTTGGGAGTGGACGTGTCAGCGGATGGGTCTATGAAAGATGAGGTGAATCATAGAATTGATGAGGGAAAAAGAGTGAGTGGTGCACTTAGGAGTCTGTGGAGACAAAGAACTTTGTCCTTGGAGGCAAAGAGGGGAATGTATGAGAGTATAGTTTTTACCAACGCTCTTATATGGGTGTGAAGCGTGGGTGATGAATGTTGCAGCGAGGAGAAGGCTGGAGGCAGTGGAGATGTCATGTCTGAGGGCAATGTGTGGTGTGAATATAATGCAGAGAATTCGTAGTTTGGAAGTTAGGAGGAGGTGCGGGATTACCAAAACTGTTGTCCAGAGGGCTGAGGAAGGGTTGTTGAGGTGGTTCGGACATGTAGAGAGAATGGAGCGAAACAGAATGACTTCAAGAGTGGTATCAGTCTGTAGTGGAAGGAAGGCGGGGTAGGGGTCGGCCTAGGAAGGGTTGGAGGGAGGGGGTAAAGGAGGTTTTGTGTGCGAGGGGCTTGGACTTCCAGCAGGCATGCGTGAGCGTGTTTGATAGGAGTGAATGGAGACAAATGGTTTTTAATACTTGACGTGCTGTTGGAGTGTGAGCAAAGTAACATTTATGAAGGGATTCAGGGAAACCGGCAGGCCGGACTTGAGTCCTGGAGATGGGAAGTACAGTGCCTGCACTCTGAAGGAGGGGTGTTAATGTTGCAGTTTAAAAACTGTAGTGTAAAGCACCCTTCTGGCAAGACAGTGATGGAGTGAATGATGGTGAAAGTTTTTCTTTTTCGGGCCACCCTGCCTTGGTGGGAATCGGCCGGTGTGATAATAAAAAAAAAAAAATAATAAATATACAGTGGACCCCTGGTTATCAGCTGGTTTGGTTATCGGCCAACTCGGTTATCAGAGGGTTTTTCGGCGCCCGGTTATCAGCCGTTTTGGATGTGTCCATCCGCCGGCTGGGGCAGCTTGCGCTTCAGTTTGGCTTTCTCTCTCGGTGGCTGAGGAAGCTTCTGCTCATACATCCAAACATTTCGCTTGTTTACCATTGTTTTTAGTGGTTTTTCTTGCAGTGCAACTGTGAAATAAGTAACCATGGCTCCAAAGAAGTGCCTGTGGTAAAGAAAGCGAGAAACACCATGGAATTTAAGTGTTTAGGGACTTCAGTTTCATCACAGTGAAGTTCTTGCCTCATAACATCACTCCTCTCCTCCAGCCCATGGACCAGCAGGTTATTTCTAACTTCAAAAAACTCTACACAAAAGCAGTGTTTCGAAAGTGCTTTGAAGTGACCTCAGACACTCATTTGGCCCTAAGACAGTTCTGGAGGAATAACTTCACTATCCTCCATTGCATAAGCCTTATAGGTAAGGCTTGGGAGGGAGGGACTTCCAACTCTGCTTGGTGAAAACTGTGGCCAGATTGTGTCCAAGAGAGGGATTTTGAAGGGTTTGAGGCTCACCCTGACCCTGCCAACCCTGTGTACTCTATTGTGGCACTGGGGAAGTCCCTGGGGTTGGAGGTGAGTGGCAAGGATGTGGAAGAGTTGGTGGAGGACCACAGGGAAGAGCTTACCACTGAAGAGCTGCAAGAGCATCAACTCCAACAGCAACAAACTGCAGCTGAGGAACTTGCTCCAGAGGAGGAGGAAGAGGGAGTGAAGGAGGTGCCTTCTTCAGATTTTAAAGAGGTGTGTGCAATGTGGACTAGGGTGAAAGCTTTTGTAGAGAAACACCACCCTGACAAAGCTGAAACAAGCCATACCTGCAACATGTTTAGTGACAAAACCCTGTCCCACTTCAGGGAAATCTTAAAGAGATGCCAGAAACAGAGCACTCTGGACAGTTATTTTGTGAGACAGGGGTCCAGTGACACTCAAGCTGGTCCTAGTGGCATTAAAAGACAAAGAAGGGAAGTAACCGCAGAGAAGGCTTTGATACCTTAAGTCTTCATGGAGGGGGATTCCCCTTCCAAACACTAACTCCTCCTGCTTTCCTCCTCCCTATCATCCAGAAGCCAGCATTAGCCATCAATAAAGGCATGTAATACTTACATAATTGTTAAAAAATTTTTTTTTTTTGTGAATATTTTTGTTTGGAATGGATTAATTGTATTACCATTAATTCTTATGGGAAATATTAATTCGGTTATCAGCCGACCTTCTGAAATGGATTACAGCCGATAACCAGGGGTCCACTGTATTAACATCTAAATGTAGATTCAAACATATGCCTTAAGTGCCAACTCTTTGCACACTGGATCAGCGTCAGCAAGCAAACTTGCAGAATTACTGGAGGAAACTAATAATTCACTCAAACCTATTTAATCCTGAATTTTTAATTTATATACGCTTTTATCTAGAACTAAATCGACTGTCTTAATTAATAAATAAAACTTAGAGAAAGACAGGTGGCACTACTTTTACCACAACATTTGTTTCTTGCCAATAGTGGCCCCCATTAAAAAAAAAAAATTCAACTGTTTTACCAGAAATGTGTAGATAGTGCAATTCTGATAACCCCTGAATTATGACATTCCCACCCACCTTCAGAGTGCAGGCACTGTAATCACAGTCTCCAAGACAAGTTTAGTTATCTAGCTGCCCTGAATTTCTAGTTATCGTGCTCACACTCCAGAAGATAGTATAGTTTAATAATGTGTGGTAGGCCATCTGCTGTGCTACTCTTACTCTTCTAAAGCAACGACTAACAACCAGAAATTGTGTGTGACTGGGATGATTCAGCTTTTCACATTAAAAATTCCAGGTAAACAATGAAAATGCAGAGGTGCCCAGAAGAGTGACAGGCCATTTGCAAACTTATTAAGCAATATGTCTCCTTAGAAAATCTACATCTACTGGTCATGTTGATACCGTATCAGGTAAATGTATGGTTACAAACCCTGTGAAAAAAAAAAAATGTGTACCACAATAAATATGCCTGGTGGTGTGTAAGCAGCTGTAAACTTTTATGCAAGTCACAATATTAAATATAAAGAAACCATTTACTAGTATTGTACATGAAAAACTTAAAGTATACTTACAACATGAACAAGGCCATCAAGATTTCTTAACTTTACTTTCACATAATTTTCTTTCATTGTTGCTGTATCTGGGAAGTTAATAATATCTGACACCAATTGCACTAGGCTCTCTGTGCTACCCATGTGTTTTACTTCACTCTCGTTGGTCTGGCTCCTACCAGTGTTGGCGACATTAGTCTTTGTAGTCGTCTCAGGATTTGCTGATGTGCTGAAACAATATCGATGACAAACTGAATAAAAAGTATATTTTATACATGTATTGCTTTTACAGTTGGTCAATAATAATTTTCCAATTGATAAAATGCCCACAAGCTTATAGTAATAACTAGATATGTTTCAGTCACATTAAGGTGACTCGTGCAGGTAGTCTGTCTACATCCAGCATACCTTGCATTACAATTTTATTAGTTTTATGTCCTGTAGTAGATGTACAAATGTTGGAATGTAGTATTATTACTTGTGTTTTTGGGCAGTATGAGTGTCTATTGAATGTGTAGGGCCTTTTAGGTTGGAGGGAGGGGGTAAAGGAGGTTTTGTGGGCAAGGGGCTTGGACTTCCAGCAAGCATGTGTGAGCACTGTGACAGGAGTGAATGGAGACGAATGGTTTTTGGGACCTGATGAACTGTTGGAGTGTGAGCAGGGTAATATTTTGTGAAGGGATTCAGGGAAACCGGTTAGCCGGACTCGAGTCCTGGAAATGGGAAGTACAATGTCTGCACTTTAAAGGAGGGGTTTGGGATATTGGCAGTTTGGAGGGACTTCTAAACTGTCATATCTGAATGCCTCTGCAAAGACAGTGATTATGTGTGAGGTGAAAGTGTTGAATGATGATGAAATTATTTTCTTTTTGGGGATTTTTTCTTTCTTTTTGGGTCACCCTGCCTCGGTGGGAAACTACTGACGTGTTGGGGGGGGGGGGGACCTGTAGAGTAGGCATGTGTTTATTTGCACTCTCTCAACATCCATCCCACCTTCCAACAATGTCTTTATACATTCATCCACTAGATATGCAGAACAGCACTATATTTATATGATACACTTTATATCTTCATATGCATTTGCTGCACTGACTTGTCAAATTAGCATACTGCAATATATAGTTCTCACCAGTTTTATTGCAAGGACATCTAGTATTATTTCTGATAAAAATCTTTATGCTTTAGAGGCAATACTTTACAACAATACTCTGACACTGATTGGTACTGAGGTACATCACCTTAAATAACTTGCAGTGAAAGAAACCAATCCTTTCTTTTATGTTGATGGTTCTAGGGATCATTCCCACCATCCTCCACTGCTTCTTCCCTGAGCTTCATTCCTTTCCAGCTCCCTCTCATCTTTCCTCCCATTTATCCTTACTTTTCTTCCAGATTGTCCAGCTCAGTAGAGCTGGCCAACAGAGTGAAAACTATCTAGAATACCAGTGTACAATTTTGCTCATGCAATACATTTAATTGGAATGAAAATAATAAGTACATATGTTTTATCGTAGAAGGTTTGTAGACAGCAACCACCCAAGGAGGTACTATTGTCCTGCCAAGCGAGTATGAAACGGAAACCTGTAATTGTTTTACATAATTGTAGGATTACTGTGTCTTTTAATGGTCTCAAACACACAGGGTAACAGGTATATCTTGCTACTTCTACTTACTTGTAATTCACACTACACATGCATGTACATACATACATATATATTTACACACCCATCTGGGTCTTCTATTTTCTTAATAGTTCTTCTTCTTCTTTATTTCCATGGGGAAGTGGAAAAGAATTCTTCCTCTGTAAGCCATGTGTGTCATAACAGGTGACTAATATGCTGGGAGCAAGTGGCTAGTAACCCCTTCTACTGTATAAATTACTAAATTTAAAAAGAAAAAGTAATTTTTCTTTTTAGGTCACCTTGCCCTGGTGGGATACAGCCAGTTTGTTAAAAAATTGTTTTACAGAATATCTAATACCTTGGATATCTCACAGAGGGTATTTTCAGTTCTGGAGCTTGAAGATCAATTAATGGCTTTGGAGCTAGACTATCTGTGGAAGGCACTGGAGATTGCTGAACTGGTGGAGATGCTGATGGAAGCTGCTTTGATACTGTCAGAGACTGAGCAGCACTATTTTCACCTCCAGTAGGAAGAACAGTAATAGTTGCACACCGACTTTCATTCTCACACATAATCTGTGGATTATAAGATGCAATTCATTCAAGATTGAAAAATGTCAAATATTTTAAATAATTTAATTTTTTTTTAATTGTTTAGTTGTGGGATATATTGTTGGTGCTAGTTACATTAAGAATAGTAGGAAAGTGTAAATGGTAATATTGTTTGTGTGCACTTCTATACATCCCACAACTAAGGGATTAAAAAAAATGAATTAACCAAAATACATTTACACTAAATTTCAATATCCCAAAAATAACAAAAAGGCTTGAACTCTTCAAGGGTTATGGCACAATACCATGAATGGAATAATACACAACGGTCCAAATCAGATTGAAATGTTGTCGTCAGCTCCTCTCTCCTATGTGCAGGTTATTTGTGTATTCAACATCCCAATATTTATAAACTCAGATTCATATATGTATTGTCTACAGTAGAATCTCATTAGTTAGTTTTCAGCTCAAGTATGTGGAATTGTGTGTTACAAAAATATCTAAGGAATGTTCTGGTAAATCATAACACTTATGCTTTAAATTTAAAATGTATGCACATAATTAAAAATTAGGTGTTGTCAGTGGGTTAATAATTTGAGGATACGAAGGGTTCTTTTCACAAGTACTTTTTACAGAATTTTTAACTTGGAAATATGCTTCTCTTGGCTCAATGCCCAACCATCTACAGTTGAGTTGCTAAAGGGGAAAAATAATATTACTCCACTGGAAAATATGACAAAAATTCCACCAACATGTAAGGTAAAATCTTATGATCTAGATTAAATTTTCCCATATCTAAAATTTTGAAACTTTCTGCAAACTTACTCCCCATACTAAAAAAAAAAAAAAAAAAACAAAATACTAGCTATTTTGAATGTTTCTGAAACAAGCTAAAACTTCTCCCTTTTCTAGATACGGGTTGGCCATCACTAATTGGCAAAAATTTCAGCTAGAAAAAATTTAAAATTTCATCATTATATTGCTCAAATTTATTTTATACTGTTCGTATTGGCAGAGGGTTTGTAAATCCACAGCAGAAACCCAGTGAAGGTGAGGCGTGATAAAAATGAAGACGAGCAGTTTCTATTGATGGGTTAAAAAGGGTTTTTCTAACCTAACCCTCTGAATCCAGAAACTCAAAAATTTCGGACAACTACAAGCCCCAATGATGCCGGGATTAGTGATGGTCGACCTGTACACGTTAAGTGGATCAAAGGGAAAAAAATTTCCACACAGGGAGATGGCCAACTTTTTGGGGAGAAAAAAAAAAAAAAAAAAAAAGGAGAGAGAAAAACTGGGGAGGTGTAATAGATTTGGGGGGGAAAAGGGAAAGAGGGGGGGAGGGGGGGAAATTTTCACCCCCCTTCCATCATGCTTGCCTCTGGAGGGGGGGGATGTTTATTTTTAAGATCATTTAGTATCACCAAATTTTTGGGCCTAAAACAGTTTGTATTGAAAAAAAATTTGGGTAAATCCCATCCTAAGAAATTTGCAGTCCAGAGGGCATCTGAACTGGTTTTTGCATACTTCAGGAAAGGCAGTAATTAGATAAAGATGGCGGTGCCTCATTTTTTTTTACAAACCTTGGTGGGGGGGCCAATGGTTAAAATAAACAATAATAAAAAAATTTAATTTGTGATAAGGTACTTGACTTTTTTTGCAAGAATTTTAATGTTTTTTGTTAATGTTTTGTTTCCATTTTCAATGAAAAAATACCCTGTATACCATAAAAATCCTACCGAGATCTGGGAGAGGACAGCTAACTCACTGAACTGAGTTGAAACAATTTTTTTTCCAGTGTTCATCTCGACATTTTTCTTCACTTTTTTTAATTACACAATTAGGGAACAGTTCCCCAATAATTTTAAAAAATAATCATTATTTTCCCAAACATTTTTTGAATTTATTTAGTTGACACAAAAAAAATTTTGGTGACACATCTGTGCAAGAAGGACAAACATTGAGGGAAAACATCCCATTTTTTGTTTTTTCCCTGCCTGTAGGGGAGCGCTTGAAAAAATTACTGCATTCTGCAACGATTTACTGGGAAATCCCCGTCACTTTTTGGTGTGTTTCTATTAATCTGAGAAAGGAAATTTTATTATTTTTTATTTTAACCTGGGGAAGGGGATGGGATTTAAAAAAAATGGACAGGTGGGGGGGGGAAAGTGGAAAGGGAAGGGAAGAAAAGGGGGCTGGGGAATAGGGAGAGAAAGGGAAGGGGGGGGAGAGGGGGAAGGGGGAAAGGGAAAAAAGGAGGGGGGAGAGGAAAAAGGAAGGGGATAGGTTAGGTATGGGAGAGGGATGAGGGATAGGGGAAGGGGGGAAAAGGGCAAGGGGAAAAGGGAAAAGGGAGACATTTTTGCATTAAAAAATTTTTAAAAAAATGTAAAGCCACATTAAACCACCAAAAAAACTGCCCATCTTTTTCCAACATCTCTCATTTTTTTTTTTTTTTTTTTTTTTTTTTTTTTGTGGGGGAATTTCCCCAATTTTTTCTTAAAAATCATGTCCAAACAAATTTTAATAAGAATTCCCAAAAGGGTTTTTTTCGCCCTACTCCTAGGTTAAGGACATTACCCAATTTTTATTATTAATCTTCAAGTTTGCTTTTTTATTGTCAATCAAATTACAATAAAGATACCCAATTTACGTTTCAATTTCCCTTAAATTCCCGGGTTAATTTTCCTCAAATTTTTTTTTTTTATTTAGGTCAAAAAAATCCTTTTAAATTTTCCCCCCCCTTGAAATTTAAAAACCGGGTAAATGTATGGTAGAGTTATTATTGAAGAATTAAGAGTAAGACGGAGAATAGGATAGCAGATGAACAAGGAGGCTTTAGGAAAGGTAGGGGGTGTGTGGACCAGGTGTTTACAGTGAAACATATAAGTGAACAGTATTTAGATAGGCTAAAGAGGTCTTTGTGGCATTTATGGATTTGGAAAAGGCGTATGGACAGGGTGGATAGGGGGGGCAATGTGGCAGATGTTGCAAGTGTATGGTGTAGGAGGTAGGTTACTGAAAGCAGTGAAGATTTTTTAAACGAGGATAGTGAGGCTCAAGTTAGAGTATGTAGGAAAGAGGGAAATTTTTTCCCAGTAAAAGTAGGCCTTAGACAAGGATGTGTGATGTCACCGTGGTTGTTTAATATATTTATAGATGGGGTTGTAAGAGAAGTAAATGCGAGGGTCTTGGCAAGAGGCGTGGAGTTAAAAGATAAAGAATCACACACAAAGTGGGAGTTGTCACAGCTGCTCTTTGCTGATGACACTGTGCTCTTGGGAGATTCTGAAGAGAAGTTGCAGAGATTGGTGGATGAATTTGGTAGGGTGTGCAAAAGAAGAAAATTAAAGGTGAATACAGGAAAGAGTAAGGTTATGAGGATAACAAAAAGATTAGGTGATGAAGATTGAATATCAGATTGGAGGGAGAGAGTATGGAGGAGGTGAAGTATTCAGATATTTGGGAGTGGACGTGTCAGCGGATGGGTCTATGAAAGATGAGGTGAATCATAGAATTGATGAGGGGAAAAAGAGTGAGTGGTGCACTTAGGAGTCTGTGGAGACAAAGAACTTTGTCCTTGGAGGCAAAGAGGGGAATGTATGAGAGTATAGTTTACTAACGCTCTTATATGGGTGTGAAGCGTGGGTGATGAATGTTGCAGCGAGGAGAAGGCTGGAGGCAGTGGAGATGTCATGTCTGAGGGCAATGTGTGGTGTGAATATAATGCAGAGAATTCGTAGTTTGGAAGTTAGGAGGAGGTGCGGGATTACCAAAACTATTGTCCAGAGGGCTGAGGAAGGGTTGTTGAGGTGGTTCGGACATGTAGAGAGAATAGAGTGAAACAGAATGACTTCAAGAGTGTATCAGTCTGTAGTGGAAGGAAGGCGGGGTAGGGGTCGGCCTAGGAAAGGTTGGAGGGAGGGGGTAAAGGAGGTTTTGTGTGCGAGGGGCTTGGACTTCAGCAGGCATGCATGAGCGTGTTTGATAGGAGTGAATGGAGACAAATGGTTTTTAATACTTGACGTGCTGTTGGAGTGTGTGAGCAAAGTAACATTTATGAAGGGATTCAGGGAAACTGGCAGGCCGGACTTGAGTCCTGGAGATGGGAAGTACAGTGCCTGCACTCTGAAGGAGGGGTGTTAATGTTGCAGTTTAAAAACTGTAGTGTAAAGCACCCTTCTGGCAAGACAGTGATGGAGTGAATGATGGTGAAAGTTTTTCTTTTTCGGGCCACCCTGCCTTGGTGGGAATCGGCCAGTGTGATAATAAAAAAAATAATAATAATCTCAAATTTGAGAACTTTCTGCAAACATTCAGCTCTACCATACTAAAAAAAAAAAAAAAAAAAAAAAAAAAAAAAAAAAAACCACACAGAAGATACTAGCTCATTTTGAATGTTTCGGACAAGCAAAACTTCGCCCCTTTTCTAGATACAATTGGCCATCAAAAATCTGGCACAAATTTCAGCTAAAAATTTCAATTTCATCATTATATGGCTCAAATTTCTCTTTAACGATTCAGTTTTGCAAGGGTTTGTAAATCCACAGCAGCAAGCCATGAAGGTGGAGCACGAGAAAATGGGGAAGACGTAGCATTTTCTTTTGAAGGTTAATTAATGTTTTCTAACCTAACCACTCTGAATCCACCCAAACCCAATTTTTTGGCACACTACAGTCCCAATGATGCCGGGATTATAGGTCGACCTGTACACAGTTAAGTGATCAAAGGGGAAAAATTTTACACAAAAGGAGATGGCCAACTTGTTGGAAAAAAAAAAAAAAGGAGAGAAAAACTAGGAGGGTGATAGATTTGGGAGGAAAGGAAGGAGGGGGGAGGGGGGGGATATCACCACCCTTCCACCAGTCTTGCCTCTAGAGGGGTGGGGAAATGTTTTTTTTAAGTATAGTACATTAGTATCACCAATTTTGGGTAAATTTTTTGGGCCCTAAAACAGTGTTGGTATGAAAAAAAATTTGGTAACACCCCATCACTAGAGGAAAAGTTGCAGCCCCAGAGGCTCTGAACGTGATTTTGCATACTTCGGGAAAGGCAGTAATTAGATGAAAATGGCAGTGTCCTCATTTTTTGTTCACAATCCCTTGGGGGAGGGGGCCAATGGTTAAAATAACAATAATAATAATAATTGAAAATTTGTATAAAGACATCAGACATTTCTGCAAGTAATTGAATTTTTTATTTGTTAATGTTTTGTCTTCCATTTTCAAGGGAAAAAATCCCCTTATACCAAAATACCTACTCGAATCTGGGCCCGAGGACAGCTAACTCCCCTGATACTGATTATAACACATTTTTTTCCAGCTTTTATCTCGTACATTTCTCTTCCTTTTTAAATTACAGCAATTAGGGTAAAAGTGCCCCAAAATTTAAAAAATAATCACTTTTTTACCTCAAAAATTGTTGAATTTATTCAAGTTGACAACAAAAAAAATGGGTGCACACTGATCAAAAATGGGCAAACATGAGGGGGAAAAAATCCCAAATATGTTTACCCCGTCTCTGTAGTGGCGCTGCTTGTAAACATACGCACTTTTTTTCAACTGAGACTGAAATCCAGTGCCTTGGCTGGTGTGTATTAATTTAAACTGAGAAAGGAAATTTTTATTTTCTTTTGCTAACCGGGGAATGGGGGGTGGGTATAGAAAAAGATGGCAAGTGGGGGGGGAAAATGGAAAGGGAAGGGGGAAAAAGAAAGGGGCTGGGGAAAGGAGAGAAAGGAAGGGGAGGAGAGGGGAAGGTGGAAAGGGTAAAGAGGCAGGGGGCAGAGGAAAAGAGGAAGGTGGATAGGTATAGGTATAGGGAGAGGAGATAGAGGGATAGGGTAAGGAGGAAGAGGGCAAGGGAAATGAGGGGAAAAGAGGGAGACATTTAGCAGTTAAAATTTTAAAATAATGTATGAAGACCACATTAAAACCACAAAAACACTGCCCATCTTTGTCCAACATCTCTCATTTGCCAAATCACTTCACTATCCACACTGTCAAACCATTTTAAAATTTATAGTCAGAATTCCATGTTTTGTTACTGCTCGCTAACTAGCATCAGTGAAGACACTTTATCAACACATTTTTACTTTATAATCATACAGTGTCTTGTCAATCACAATTTTACCATAAAGAATCTCCACAACTACGGTGCTCTTCGCACCTACTCCTAGGTTGAGGGACTGATTACCTCATTTTCTGTATATAGTCCTACTGTCTTCAAGTTATGTCCTAGAATTTGTATTGATAAAGCCACTGGATGGCGAAACGTCTACAATAAAGATACCCAGATGTTGCACATGTGTCTTAATTTCACCATAAAGTATCCCTAGTATAATTTCCTACAATGATTTTATTCATTTTCTCCCAATGTACAGAGTAACAAAAAATGCTCTGCTTTCAACATTTCACCCCCAACCTGTTCAGCATGTCAATTCCTAATTCATCTCTCTTGCTAATCATACTTTCAACTTTCTTGCCCATTTCACCCACATGTACAGCTCTTTACTCATTCTAAGATCTTGTTCATCATCAAAAGCATGGCATTTTTTTTCCCTATTACTTCATCTACATTTAACAATTTCTTAAATTATTCTCTAATGCCTATATTTTGTTTATCCAGGATCTCATCACTTTAATAAGACAGATGTCCTATCAAAGTGATGAGATCCTGCATAAACAAAATATATTTGTTTTCCTACATTTATCTTAATTTTTTTTTTACCTCACTCATTCCTTCATATACTTGTTTGCAGTTTTCAAAACACCTTTTATATTTTTTCTTTTCTTATCTAGTCTACCTAATGATTTTTTTTTTTTAATTTTAAATGTCCTTTCTCTGCACCATAACTACAATCCTCTGCTACACATACTAACACTACACTCTTAAATCTATGCCACATCCTGACAGTCTCATTACTTTCTCTTACTTTTTCCAAGATAGCTTCTCAATCATCAATCAACAAGCACACAGTCCAGCAGACTGCTTTTACTGTGCACTTAACTTCTTAAAAGAATTGTTTTTTTTTTTATAACACAGGTACTATCTATTCCTAAAGTTTTAGACAAAATTGAAGTTAAAGTCTTCACTGTTATTTACACCAGACAAATGAACTTAAGAACGCCTTTCACAAGCATCTACTCCAACTAAAATCTGAAAGGCTGACTATATTACCATTTACCGTATCACATCCTACTGTGTCTATAAACTTTACAAGCCTCACTTATACTTCCAGCTGTCTTTCCACAACTGCTTATTCAATATTATGATTTTACTTTTTGTTATGCAACATTTTTATGCTTATTTCTTCAACCTCTTCCCACTGAAATTACCAATCACCTAAAATTTCATTTAGTGCTAGGTTTACAAGGCTCCTGAAATAACAAAGTGCTTCTTTCTTGATATCAATACTACATTTATATGCAAACAGTCTAACCTTAGGTTTGTTCTTTTCCTTTTAGGTTAATGCATGCAGGAAAAGGGAAGGGGGTAATCAGGCCCCTTTAGTGGCTTTTAACATGAGAAGCTTCAAGGGTAGTGTTCTAAACCATTTTCGATTGGTAACTGAGAAGAAAATTTGCTAATTTAAGAACTATTAAGAAACAAACAGTAAAAATAGAGATAAAATTGTAACGAATGCAAATGGAAGCTAATATCATACTTGTATCTTAATATTCAAGTGACAAGAGACAAAATATTTGTACTATATAACACAAATGAAACATTTAAATCATTCACAGTATATTTCTTATTGATCTACTCATTCATCAGGATATTTCATATCTTACCAGTTTCCTCTTGGTACAAGTAATGTTATTTCACTTAAACATTGTCATTGGGTCTATAACCTCTCTTTCTCCCAAATACACTTACACTGCAAGTACAATTTCTTTGATCAATATTAATTTACCTGTCACCAGCAGCAGCAGTGATATCTGCCTCCAAGCTGACTGTATCATCAGCATTTAAACATGCAAACACAGTGCTTGATGCATCGTCATGAGCTTGACGCTCTCCATACAACTGAATCTGGAATAAGAAAATTTTGTCCTTGTTATTGTTCTACTTAAACTTTTACACATCCACCATATGCAATTTTATACATGTCATCTGCCTACCTACCAACTTGTTCATGGTTGGAGGGGTCACTGCCCTATGCCCTGGCCCCCAACCAATCTGGCTTAACAGGCATAATTTAGAGGAGTTTATCAAGTTTCCTCTTAATTTATGGGTCTGCTGGTAATTATATTTTAGGTAAGTGCTGAAAAGCCTTGGATCCAAGTCTTATCTAATTAAATTTTAGTGGAATATTTATCAATTTAATACAAGAATTGTGTATTAAATGTGTGTGTGTGTGCACATATGCTATTCTTGTATTCTTAAATTTGTATATGCATGTGCACAAGTATATATAAGCGCACATGTGCATGTGCACACATACACACACAAAGGAGAATTTAGCTATTATTTCAGTCCTTCATGAACCTGTATCCAATCACAACTGTTGTGACTATAATGGTCCAGGATAGACCAAAACATCATCTTCAGTTTCCTTTTGGTGCAACTTGTCAACTGTTCAGCTTCCCATACTGAAACACTTATTCTTCTTTAGGAAACAAGCTAAAAATGTGTGTGAAAATAAACTGAAAATGACTTATCTAAGGAATGACAATAAAATTAGAGAACCTGAATTTTGGAACACGAATTGAAGAAGACGGCAGAATCTTCGGGCTGTGGAGGGAGACAATCTTCTTCATTTTGAACTTCCTTCTTCCCTGTATAAACACTATCCCAGTTGATCTTCAGTAGGCTAGGATCATTAATACGCCGGATCTTTACTTCTTTGTTTTTAAGTCTGATAGAGAAAAATAAATTTGCTTTTAATCCACTTAGATGCTGGATAATATCCCTAAGTCAAGGGGTATAATTTAGGTTTAAAAATTTTCTTCTTTTACCTAAACTTTTTCTAAGCCCAGATGGCTCCAATGAAAATTTTCTGCAAGTCATCATCATTGAAGTTATTAATAGGTGCACTGAATTACTAGCTGTAATAGTGCATGTGCAAAGAAGGTACCGTGAAAACAGTAAACTCTCCCTTATGTTAATGTTTCCATAGTTTTTTTCCCTTTCAGTCACAGAAAATTCCTAATACTGTACAAGCAAACTGGACAATTCTTTTGCAACAAACAAGTTCAATGTTTGCTTCCCAAATTTTGGAAAATTACAACTAACAGAAGCTACTATGATAGAATTGTCTATCGTTTTGACTATCTTCAGAATTAAAGTTTTGAGTTAAATATAAAACATTTCCAGCACTGTTAGTGTTTGTAAATTTTTTAAATTTAACATAAAAAATATACTGGAGTATTGTACATTTACTTCTTCACTATTGCATTTGTAAAGGATAAGCTCTACACCTTGGGAGGTCCTTTTAACTTCTGAATAACTAGCATGAAACAGCTCCATCTACTTTACTTTCAAACTTATGTAAGGAGTCGTGGAACAATACCTCTGTGTGTGAAATACTAAAATATTTTCCACTGTCCTTGAGGCATCCACTCTTCCTTAGTTTACACCTGTAACTTCTTGTTCTCCCTCTCAATGATGCTCAAGACATTTATATAATTTTTTCATATCCTTTTATAAGTTTACAAATAGTTATGATGTCTCCTATTCTCCTATCAGATTAAGTATACATTTTCAGTCTTTCATCTGAAGAGTCATTTTACCAGTATGCCTTTACAGTAGTTTTTAACATAATAACTATGTCATAGTGTTTGCTTATGTGTCTTTCTAAACCAACTTGTCGGTATTTATTATGAAGGTTTATACCAGTTTTTAACACACATTGTTGGGGTGAAAAACCTAAGTTTTTTTTGCCTGAAAGTGGTTCTGCCTCTTACAATATTATATTTATAAAAAGATGTGAAAATAGACATAATTAATGGTACCTTTTTAAATTTTTTTTTCAGAACTCTTTACAGATGAACGAAACTTCTGTACAGCACTTTTTTTTAACACCTATGCCATTTCCCACTAGTAAGGTGATCCAAAGAAAGATTTATACACCATTTCTGATGGTGTACGAATCCATGTCTTAAAAAAAAAAAAAGAAAAAAAATTTGAAAGACCCTCCTGGGGTGCACTACAGTGGACCCCCGGTTAACGATATTTTTTCATTCCAGAAGTATGTTCAGGTGCCAATACTGAACGAATTTGTTTCCATAAGGAATATTGTGAAGTAGATTAGTCCATTTCAGACCCCCAAACACACATACAAACGTACTTACATAAATACACTTACATAATTGGTCGCATTGGGAGGTGATCGTTAAGCGGGGGTCCACTGTACATCTTTCTAAATTTTCACCGAAATAATTGTATACCATGACCAAAACACAAAACTACATTTTTTGAGCTTTTATTTGGAAAATGGATATACTTGAGGTTAAAAATTCTGAATGGAAAATACATTACTATATAAAATTTAAGCAAATCATACAAAGTAAAAAAATGTCTAAGTAATTAATTTTAATAGCCCTCCCCCCAAAAATAATCAGTCTACTAGTAATTTGCAGTTTTATTTCCACACATCCAAGAAGGATTTAGGAAGGGTAGATAATATGAAGACCAAATGTTAACAATGAAACATGAAAGTTAATACTTAGAGAAAGGTAAGGAGATGCTTGTTGCATCAATAGAGTTAGTAACGGCATATGAAATGGTAGGTAGAGAAGCAGTGTGGCAGATGTTGCAAATGTATGGAACAGGTAGTAGATTACAAAAAGCAGTAGAGTATGTATGAGGGGGACTATTTCCTAGGAAAAGAAGGTCTTAGATAGTGATGTGTGATGTCACCATGGTTGTTGAGCATATTTATAGATAGGGTTGGAAATGATGAGAATGCTAAGGTGCTGGGAAAGGTGCAGGATTGAAAGATAATGAATCTGATGCAAAGTGGGAGTTGTCACAGTCACTTTTTGCCAATATGACAGTTCTTTTGGAAGATTCTGAAGGAGAGTTGCAAAGGTTGGTAGAAGAAAATTCCAACACAGAAAAGAGTAAGGTGATTAGAGTAGCAAAATATTGAAGTGGTGAAAGATTGGATCTCGTATTTTGGGGAGAGAGTAAATGCTTTCAGTTATTTATCAAATATTTATCAGTTGAAGAGTCTGTGTAAGAAATGGTGAGCCATAGAATAGATGAGGGGAATAAAAAGGGCAGATTGGAGAAGGGGGATAATGGAGGTATTAATGTTAGGATCCTGAGCATCTAGCAGCCTTTTGAGTGTGTATAAGATCAGAGTGAGGAGAAGAGGGATTTTATTTAGCCTAACATACTATTGGAGTGCAAGAAAGGTAACATTTATGAAAGGATTCAGTGAAACTGGTTACCCAACTGAATTCATGGAGGTGGAAGTACACTGCCTGCATTCTGAAAGAGGGAAAGGGAGTATGGTACAGTTTGGAGGGTCACTGGAATTATCACATCTGTACTTCTTGTAAGACGGCTATCATTGTGGGAGATGGCCAGTGAAAAAAAAAAAAATCCCCTAGCTTTCAAGTTTTATACCATTCATTCAAATATTACTCTCAAAATCTAACACATAATTCAGTTACACTAAGTAATTTCCATATTTGAACAACAGAGTAATTATGTACTCTTGTTTGAATATTTTGCAACAAGTGACAATCTAGAATTTATCTCCAAAATTAATCATAGAAAATACAATTCTCCTTACCTCCGGAATCTCTGGCGTAAAATCTCATCCCCTGATATAACCTGTAACACTCCCACACAGCCAGGTGCCTTGGCCAACATGTTAGCAGTCCCAGTTGCTGCAATAAATATATCCCGATTTTCCTTTGGTGCCAAAACAAATTCTGAAGGTTGCACGGAGATTTCACTTGAGGGCAGTAGTTCTGAACACTGGTCATCTGTTACAGAACAAAATGAACTACAACATTTAACCAATACATACAGTAAACTACAGTAATAATATTTATTTCATTAACAGAAGTATTACTATATTGGAAATTTGTCTAGTAAATCAATAAAAATGCACAAGACTCATGAAAATCTAATCTAATAAATAAAAAAAAAAAAAACTCCAGAAATGGAATGTTTGCAAAAACTTTTCAAAACTGCCAAGGATCTCTGAACAGTGCCAAATTCAGAAAAAAAAAAAAAAAAAAAAAAAATAGCAAGTCTTAGCTCAAGCTGAGAATCTAGGCACATGTTTTCTTCAGAAAACATTAGATTATTAAATAAAGATTAACAATTTATAAAATTTAACAGCCCCTAAAAGTCTAATTTATGTAGGAAAGAATTACCTGTAAACACCAGAAGCTTCAAAAACATTACTCTGTCTCCTGTATTAGTAAAAGTAGTGTTGACTAGAGTTGGTAAACCTGGTGCCAAGTCTCGAAGAAAAAGAGGCTTGCCATCACAGGCATCAGCAATCTCCAACTCACTTTTTCCTCCATACCCTTGTAGTGGAACCTGGAAGATGTGATTACAACAAATACCGTAGACCTGCTAATATTAACAACTGCTTTTAGTCAGTCAAGTTAACATTTATTATCTCATGTAATAGCATTTACTAAAGGTTTCAAACTTGTTTGGCTACTGTACAAGTGAAACAGTTGCCACTTGCATAAAAAAATGAAAATGAAAAAGAGTATGCTACTTCTACTTACACTTAGGTCACACTATACATTAATGTATACACACATTTACACACCCATCTTGGCTTTCTTCAATTTTCCTAATAGTTCTTGTTCTTTATTTCCCCTGCTCCATGGGAGAGTGGAAAAGAATTCTTCTGCAAGTCATGCGTATCGTAAGAGGAGACTAAAATGCCAGGAGCAAGGGGCTAGTAATCCTTTCTCCTGTATAAATAGCTTAGTTGAAAAAGAAAAATGTTCATTTTTCTGTTTAGGTCGCCCTGCCTTGGTGAGATATGGCCAGTTCATTGAAAAAAGGTGCATGGTGGGGGAAACAATTAGTCATTCATTAAAATAATGATAATTAGTTTAACCCTTTGAGTGTCAAGACCCCTGCTTGCAAACTGGATCAGTGTCTAAAATTATTTTTCTTGTGAAATGATAGAAAATCTTTTTCTGAAGGTAATGAAAGCAAAAAGCTTGAAATTTGATGAAAAACTTACGGAATAACACTCATGAAGTTAGCGGTCTCGGCGATATTTGTGCATCAGCGATTTTGCCTACTTTGAGCCCTATTTTGGGTCAATTCCTGTGTTCCACCTGACCAAACTCATAGCTATTTTGCTAGAACTCCTTTTATTCTATTAACTGAGTATAAGAAACTGCCAATTTACCTATTTAAACTACACAAAAAAGTGATCACAAATTACTAATCTGGCAAATTTCACACAAAATTCAAGAAAGTACAATTTCAAAACAGGGGGCAGAATAGACAATACAGACATTCCTGTCACTAAAATAACATTTTCTCTATTCATTAGTCATGTCTCCAGGCCTCTCTTATATTATGCTTCCTTTTCAATTTTTTTTTTTTTTTTAAACAAGTCGACCGTCTCCCACTGAGGCAGGGTGACCCAAAAAGAAAATACTTTTTCATCATCATTCAACACTTTCACCTCGCTCACACATAATCACTGTTTTTGCAGAGGTGCTCAGAATACAACAGTTTAGAAGCATATATGTATAAAGATACACAACATATCCCTCCAAACCGCTAATATCCCGAACCCCTCCTTTAGAGTGCAGGCATTATTCTTCCCATTTCCAGGACTCAAGTCTGGCTATATAAAAATGTTTCCCTGAATCTCTTCACTAAATATTACCCTGCTCACACTCCAACAGATCGTCAGGTCCCAAATACCATTCGTCTCCATTCACGCCTATTGAACACGCTCATGCATGCCTGCTGGAAGTCCAAGCCCCTCGCCCACAAAACCTCCCTTACCCCTTCCTTCCAACCTTTTTGAGGAATACCCCTACCCCGCCTTCCTTTCCCTACAGATTTATACGCTCTCCATGTCATTCTACTTTGATCCATTCTCTCTAAATGACCAAACCACCTCAACAACCCCTCTTCAGCCCTCTAATACTTTTATTAACTCCACACCTTCTCCTAATTTCCACACTCCGAATTTTCTGCATAATATTTACACCACACATTGCCCTTCGACAGGACATCTCCACTGCCTCCTTGCTGCTGCATTCACAACCCAAGCTTCACACCCATATAAGAGTGTTGGTACTACTATACTTTCATACATTCCCTTCTTTGCCTCCATAGATAACGTTTTTTGTCTCCACATATACCTCAACGCACCACTCGCCTTTTTTCCCTCATCAATTCATTCAATTTGTATAATTGTATAAATAATATCAGCACATTCGTGAATGCACATTAGACCCACCAGTTGACACGTATTCAACGCGTGACATGATTTGTTTACTCTTGAACATGTCAAAATCTAATATTTCCACTACTTTGAGATCAATTTCAAGCTATTTTTAGTAGGTAAACCATTCAAAATCACCTATTTCTAAAATACATCTTCCATTCTATCAAATGAGACAAAGAAAATTAGAGTACAACCATAAAAAACATACAAAAATACACCGCAAATTCGCCATTTTAAACCAAAAACACGGTAGCATTTTTTTTTCTTTCATGCACTGCTTGCTGCAGGATTTTTTTTACACTGCACACACTGACCAAGCAGATCCATTCTCTCATATGTAGGACTACCAGCTTTCTCCAGCAAGATTTGAAGATGCTAGACCGACGCTAGCTTCAAAGCTGTATTACGAGACTGACACCGAACTGGTTAAAAATGAAGCAGGACACTAGCATACTACAAGTTTAGCCAAAATAGAAAGATTAATGACTGCATCAGATATTTTACCTTGCATTTGAAGGGGTTCGTCAAACCACGATATTTGCATACGAGTGTTGCACTTAATGGTTCAACTTCTTTGGGGCATAGGAAAATAGAGAGGGCTAGTTCTTGACATGGTTTGAGCACTACTTCCATCTTACACTGGCCCTCTTTGCTGCCAAATTCACCAACCTGATTTAGAGAGTTACTGAGTTAAAGAAAGCACAATACAAAATTTCAGGAGCCATTAATACCAATATTTGACTAACTTAGTCGCAGAACAAACCAATCCATAATTTGTTCAAAGTAATAAGCTATTAGATCAGCACAAATTTTGATGAAAGGGAAAAAAAAAAAAAAAAACTTTCCTCCATTTAGGACCAATACACTGCTAGGTTCTTAGCCAGACAGGTTGCTTAAACCCCACCACTAGGGTAAGGTGGCCATGCATCAGAGGGCTGAATTTATAATGGTGAATAAAATCTGGGAAATGTAGGATACGAGATGAAGAAAAAAAAAAAAGGTGGATTGTGCATTAAGGCATCTGTGGAGACAAAACTATTTATAGAGGCAAAAAGGGAAATGTAACAGAGTATAGTGGTATCAACACTGTTGTGAAGCATGTTTTGAATGCTGCAGAGAGGAGGCAGCTAGAAGTGGTAGATATGTTATGTCTGAAGGCAATATGTGCTGTGAATATTATGCAGAGAATTCAGAGTTTGGAGATTACGAGGTGTGGAGTTACCAAAAATTATTATTCAGAGGGATGAGGAGGGAGTTGTTGAGGTAGTTGGGACACAGAGAAAATGGAGAAAAATAGAATGATAGGGCATATAATCTGGGGAGAAAAGGTAGGTGTAGTCTAGGAAAGGTTGGAGGGAAGTGGTAAAGGAGGTTTAGAGTTATCTGGGCATAGACAACAAAAAGGCTCGTGTATGTTAGAAGTGGCGACAAGTGGTTTTTGTGGTTTGACATGCTATTGGAGTAAGAGCAAAGTAACATTTATGAAGGAATTCAGGAAAAACTGGTTAGTTGGACTTGCGTCCTGGAGGTGGAGAATACAGTGCCTTCACTCGGATGGTGTTAGGATATTAGTTAGGAGGGTCATCTGAAATGCAATGTCGGCACACTTCTGACAAGACAACACTTGAGTGACATTGAATGTTTTCTTCGTTGTCAGATCAGTTTTTGTCGGAAGGTGTTGGCCAGTTAAAAAAAAAAAAAAAAAAAAAAAAAATTGTTAAGTAACTGAAGAAGTGCAAGGTGAGAATACAACAGAGAATTTCTCTAATGCAGCATCCACATCTCACAATGCACCAACATTTTCAATGATAGGAAATGCAAGAAATACAGTGGACCCCCAGTTTGCGATATTAATCCGTTCCTGAGAGCTCATCGTAAACCAAAATTATCGAAAAGCGAATCAATTTTCCCCATGAGAAATAATGGAAATCAAATTAATCCATGCAAGACACCCAAAAGTATGAAAAAAAAAATATTTTACCACATGAAATATTAAGTTTAATGCACACAAACTGAAGAAGACATGCACAGTTTGTAGTACTCTACTAACAGTAGAATACATGGCACTTATCTTTAATGAAGATCTGGTGATGATTGATGGGATGGGAGGAGGGGAGTGTCAAACTTATTGTTTACAAGAGGAATCCCCTTCCATTAGGACTTGAGGTAGCAAGTCCTTTTCTGGGGTTACTTCCCTTCTTCTTTTAATGCCACTAGGACCAGCTTGAGAGTCACTGGATTTCTGTCGCACAACAAATCTGTCCATAGAGCTCTGCACCTCCCGTTCCTTTACGATTTGTCTAAAATGGGCCACAACATTGTCATTGTAATAGTCACCAGCACGGCTTGCAATAGCTGTGTTAGGGTGATTTTCATCCATAAAGGTTTGCAGTTCAACCCACTTTGCACACATTTACTTAATTTTTGAAGTAGGCACAATGGATTCCACAACTGGCATAGGCTTCTCAGGGTTAGCCCCAAACCCTTCAAAATCTTTCTTAATTTCCATACTAATTCTCACCCTTTTTACCACAGGGTTGGCACTAGAAGCTTTCTTGGGGCACATGGTGACTTATTTTGCAGAAACAAGCACCAAAAACACTGTGATAATATGGAATGTACCGAATGTATCCTTAGATGCGAGCACACTGGCTGGCTTGTAAACACTGGGCCACCCGTAGACACGTCTTGGACGAATCGCATATGGCGGGTTTTTTAACGGGAACCAAGGCAAAATTTTTGCGTTAAAATGTATCGAATACCGGATTTATTGGATACCGATGCCACTGCAAACCAGGGGCCCATTGTATTGTTATGCAAAAGAATGCAATTAATAAGTTTAATGAACATTATTATTAAATCTTTACTTCTAATTGTTCACTAAATACATATCTTTAATTACCTAGATTTTTCTGAATTTAGCAACTACGTATTACAAATATCAGTTTTCTTGTACAATACCCTAGAAAAAGGAGAGTTTGAATATTATCCCTGCCTGACAGTCTTGTCAAAAAGAAATTTTCCATTAAATACAGTTAGAGGGGCAAAACAAAATAAAAATACCTATAGGAAAGCTACCGTCACCTGTTCTAGGGTAAAAAAAAGAGGGGGAGGGGGGGCAAAAACCAGGAGATGCCCCAGAAGATTATACATCAGAATAAGATTCTTATTTTCAAAATATTATGCAAAATAAACAAGATCGAAATGCTCTTAGTATAAAATACTGTACCTGAAAGGCTTTGTTGCCACTAATTCCTAATGAGAGTGAAAGCGCTTGAGTAGTGCAGTTGTTCCTTACGACTAACTTCTGAGAACTGCTGTCTCCAATTTTCACAGTGCCAAATACAATGCGAGATTTGGTACTCTCCAAGGCAGAAGCTAAATCCTTTTCACTCTAGTAACAAAAAAATTATTACAATGGCATGCAAGCATTTTTTGATATAACAGTATTAGGTGACAGAATGTGCGAGGGATGACAATATAACAGTTGTAATTTTTATCATGAGCTTTGTGGAGTTGACTTGTAAAGCAATAACTGCTTTACCAAAGATGCTGAACATCAATTTTACTGGAGGGGGTTAAGGAGGTTTTGTGGGCGAAGGGCTTGAACTTCTAGCAAGCGTGCATGAGCATGTTAGACAGGAGTGAATGGTGAAAGTGTTGAATGATGATGAAGCTTTTTTCTTTGTTTTTAGGTCACCCTGCCTCGGTGGGAGGCGGCTGATGTGTTAACCCTTTGACTGTCGCGGCCGTATATATACGTTTTACGAGGTGCCGTGTTTGACGTATATATACTCATAAATTCTAGCAGCTTCAAATCAAGCAGGAGAAAGCTGGTAGGCCCACATGTGAGAGAATGGGTCTGTGTGGTCAGTGTGCACCATATAAAAAAAATTATGGAGCACGCAGTGCATGAATGAAAAAAAAAACTCCGACCGTTTTTTTTAATTAAAATGCCGACTTTGTGTCTATTTTCGTATAGTATTTATGGTTGTATTCTCGTTTTCTTGGTCTCATTTGATAGAATGGAAAACATATTACAGAAATAGAGGTGATTTTGATTGATTTTACTATAAAAAGAACCTAGAAATGGAGCTCAAAGTAGGGGAAATGTTTGATTTTTGCCAATGTTCAAAAGTAAACAAATGATGCCATTGTCCAATAAATGTCCAACTAGTCCATTCTAATATGCAGTCATGAATGGGTTGATGTTATTTATACAGTTATTACAGCATTGCAGTAGTCTGCATAATAGTAAGTCTAATATTTTTTGTTTGAATAAAAATTCAAAATAGAAAGCAAGAGTAATATCAGAAGGGCCTGGAGACGTGACTGATGAACAAAGAAAAGTTATTTTAGAGCCAGGAATGTCTGCATTGTTCATTCTGGACCTTATTTTGAAATTGTCATATTTTTTAGTTTTCGTTGAAATTGGCACATTGCAAATTTCTGACCACATTATTAGGTAGTTGAAATCAGTAAATGGGCAGTTTCTTGTATTCAATCGATAGAGAAAATGAAGTTCTAAAGAAATAGCTATGAGTTTGGGCGACTGGAACAATGGAATTAGCAGAAAATAGGGATCAAAGTGGGCGAAATCGCCGATTTGTAAACAGCGCCGAGGTCGCTAACTTCGCGAGAGCATAATTCCGTCAGTTTTCCATCAAATTTCGTTTTTTTGGTGTCATTACAATTGGGAAAAGATTCTCTATCATTTCATAAGAAAAAATAATTTTTTTTTAAATTTTGCGACACCAGGAGACACCTCAGGATTGGGGGTTGCGACAGTCAAAGGGTTAAAAAAAAATCAAGTCAAAATACCAGGAAATTAGTGTACTGATAATACAATACTAGTGCACTGATGATACAATACTAGTGCACTGATGATACAATACTAGTGCACTGAAGATACAATACTAGTGCACTGATGATACAATACTAGTGCATTGATGATACAATACTAGTGCATTGATGATACAATACTAGTGCATTGATGATACAATACTAGTGCATTGATGATACTAGTGCATTGATGATACAATACTAGCGCACTGATGATACAATACTAGCGCATTGATGATACAATACTAGCGCATTGATACAATACTAGTGCATTAATGATACAATACTAGTGCACTGATGATACAATACTAGTGCATTGATGATACAATACTAGTGCATTGATGATACAATACTAGTGCATTGATGATACTAGTGCATTGATACAATACTAGTGTATTGATACAATACTAGTGTATTGATACAATACTAGTGTATTGATGATACAATACTAGTGTATTGATGATACAATACTAGTGTATTGATGATACAATACTAGTGTATTGATGATACAATACTAGTGTATGATGATACAATACTAGTGATGATGATACAATACTAGTGTATTGATGATACAATACTAGTGATTGATACAATACTAGTGTTATGATACAATCTATGTATGATACAATACTAGTGTATTGATACAATACTAGTGTATTGATGATACAATACTAGTGTATTGATACAATACTAGTGTATTGATACAATACTAGTGCATTGATGATACAATACTAGTGTATTGATGATACAATACTAGTGCATTGATACAATACTAGTGCATTGATGATACAAGTGCATTGATGATACAATACTAGTGCATTGATACAATACTAGTGCATTGATGATACAATACTAGTGCATTGATGATACAATACTAGTGCATTGATGACAATAACAAATACTCATGCATTGATGATACAATACTAGTGCACTGATGATACTAGTGCATTGATGATACAATACTAGGCATGATCAATTAGTGCTATGATACATACTATGCATTGATACAATACTAGTGCATTGATGATACAATACTAGTGCATTGATACAATACTAGTGCATTGATGATACAATACTAGTGCATTGATAAATACTAGTGCATTGTGATACAATACTAGTGTATTGATACAATACTAGTGTATTGATGATACAATACTAGTGTACTGATGATACAATACTAGTGTATTGATACAATACTAGTGTATTGATACAATACTAGTGTATTGATACAATACTAGTGTATTGATACAATACTAGTGTATTGATACAATACTAGTGTATTGATACAATACTAGTGTATGATACAATACTAGTGATTGATACAATACTAGTGTATTGATACAATACTAGTGATTGATACAATACTAGTGTATTGATACAATACTAGTGTATTGATACAATACTAGTGTATTGATACAATACTAGTGTATTGATACAATACTAGTGTATTGATGATACAATACTAGTGCATTGATGATACAATACTAGTGTATTGATGATACAATACTAGTGTATTGATGATACAATACTAGTGCATTGATGATACAATACTAGTGCATTGATGATACAATACTAGTGCATTGATGATACAATACTAGTGCATTGATGATACAATACTAGTGCATTGATGATACAATACTAGTGCATTGATGATACAATACTAGTGCATTGATGATACAATACTAGTGCATTGATGATACAATACTAGTGTATTGATGATACAATACTAGTGTATTGATGATACAATACTAGTGTATTGATGATACAATACTAGTGTATTGAATAGTGATTGTACAATACTAGTGTTGTCATACTGTGATTGATACAATACTAGTGATTGATACAATATGTGATGATACAATACTAGTGCATTGATGATACAATACTAGTGCATTGATACAATACTAGTGCATTGATGATACAATACTAGTGCATTGATGATACAATACTAGTGCATTGATGATACAATACTAGTGATGATGATAACAATACTAGTGCATTGATGATACAATACTAGTGCTATTGATTGATACAATACTAGTGTATTGATGATACAATACTAGTGTATTGATGATACAATACTAGTGATGATGATACTATTGATGATACAATACTAGTGTATTGATGATACAATACTAGTGTATTGATGAACAATACTAGTGCTATTGATGATACAATACTAGTGTATGATGATACAATACTAGTGCATTGATGATACAATACTAGTGCATTGATGATACAATACTAGTGATTGATGATACAATACTAGTGATGATGATACAATACTAGTGTATTGATGATACAATACTAGTGATTGATGATACAATACTAGTGTATTGATGATACAATACTAGTGCATTGATGATACAATACTAGTGCATTGATGATACAATACTAGTGTATTGATACAATACTAGTGTATTGATGATACAATACTAGTGCATTGATACAATACTAGTGTATTGATGATACAATACTAGTGTATTGATGATACAATACTAGTGTATTGATGATACAATACTAGTGTATTGATGATACAATACTAGTGTATTGATGATACAATACTAGTGTATTGATGATACAATACTAGTGTATTGATGATACAATACTAGTGTATTGATGATACAATACTAGTGCATTGATGATACAATACTAGTGCATTGATGATACAATACTAGTGCATTGATGATACAATACTAGTGTATTGATGATACAATACTAGTGTATTGATGATACAATACTAGTGTATTGATGATACAATACTAGTGTATTGATGATACAATACTAGTGTATTGATGATACAATACTAGTGTATTGATGATACAATACTAGTGTATTGATGATACAATACTAGTGTATTGATGATACAATACTAGTGTATTGATGATACAATACTAGTGTATTGATGATACAATACTAGTGTATTGATGATACAATACTAGTGTATTGATGATACAATACTAGTATTGATGATACAATACGTGTATTGATACAATACTAGTGTATTGATGATACAATACTAGTGTATTGATGATACAATACTAGTGTATTGATGATACAATACTAGTGTATTGATACAATACTAGTGTATTGATGATACAATACTAGTGTATTGATGATACAATACTAGTGTATTGATGATACAATACTAGTGTATTGATGATACAATACTAGTGTATTGATGATACAATACTAGTGTATTAATGATACAATACTAGAGTATTATGATACAATACTAGTGTATTAATGATACAATACTAGTGTATTAATGATACAATACTAGTGTATTAATGATACAATACTAGTGTATTAATGATACAATACTAGTGTATTAATGATACAATACTAGTGTATTAACCCTTTCAGGGTCGACAGGCCCTCTGAGAGACTTATTCTCAGCATCGGGCAAATTAAAAAAAAAAAATATTTTTTCTTATGAAAAGACAGAGAATCTTTTCCCGATCATAATGACACCAAAAGTATGAAATTTGATGGAAACTTACGGAATTATGCTCTCGCGAAGTTAGAGGTCTCGACGATGTTTACGCATCG